TTTTTTTTCTCTCTCTCTCTCTCTCTTCTACAGCATGGTTTTTTCAGTTGGCCCAAAAAATCAAAAAAGAAAAAACCACAACATATTCCAAACAGAATTCCCGACTACTAAGACTTATAATATGTTTGCACCGAGGAAAATAGAAAAAAAAAGGAAGGAGAGGAGAAAAAAAAAATTTATTTATTTATTAAAAAAATTAAAGAAGGGGAAGAGAGAAAATTTTTTAATTTTATTTTTCTTTTAATTTAGTTATTTATTGAAATAAAAGAAAATAAAAAAATAATAAAAAGATATAATTTCTTTCCTTTTCTCTTACCCCAATTATAGGATTAATTAAACAAACACCGCATGCTTGTGCTGATTTTCCATTCCCTTTCTCGTTCAAATCATATTTTAAGTAATGACAAAAATTAAGAAATTTTTTAACATGTATTCACGTGTTAAACATATATTTATTATATATATTTATTATTAATTTATTTAAAAAATAAAAATTAATTTTAATTTTATTAATTATCTAATTAATTCATTTTATATATATGACATTAATGTTAAAAAAAAATTTATTTTCATAATTTTTTATATGGATTAATGTGTGCTTCTTAGGACACAATTGGACAAATTAAAAAACCCAAAAATTAATCATGCATAATCATTTTTCCATAACCGAATTTTACATACAATTCTTCTTATGGCAAAATTTAGTTATATTTCTCCATTTTCTAAAAAGCCTTGGAAAAGAAATTGAAACAATCTAAATTGAAAACACCACTAACTTAATAAGTTTTCAGGTTAAATTTTATGAATTTAAATTACTAGTAATAATTAATCTCTATATTTATATACTAATTATTCTCACACTTCTATTCGATTATGCAATTTGGGTTTTCATATTTTTACCTTGTAATATTTCATGGTCTAGTAATTCGGAAGATGATAGGTATACCGTTTTATAGATTTGCTTGAGAAAAATAAAGTTCACTCTGTTAATTAAGACCCTATTCCTACAGTTCAAGGTCAAGCCATGACTAAAGGTGACCGTTTAGTGTTATGTCACAAACTCACACAAGACGGTTACCACTTGGGCTAGCTACAAAGGTGATTGGCTAACTCAAACTTCTTTTTTTTCTTTTTTTTTTTTTAAGTTTTAGTAGTTGTGTACTCTCAAACCAACTTATACAAATCTCAGAATTTAAAAAGTAAGTTATTTACGTCAGAATTAAAAAATTTATGAGAAATTATCTTCTCATTAGTCTTCTCTCAAACTTTAGTCAATAAAGTAAAGAGTAAACTCTCTTATTAATTAAGTCACAACTTATTAGATAATTTAGAGGTTTCTTTAGCATCCTCAAGGTATCAAATAATTAGGTAACATATACTACCCTATTTAGCTCCTCCACTTATTTCTTTTCTCAATTCAAGCGTCAAACTTAACCATAGCCAATTAAACCCTTTTACCACATGACATGTTCAGTACAAATCAGTACAAATCTCATAGCTAACTGAAAGACTAACCTCTCTGCTAAGGCCCTCTACCATCTCTGCTACGATACAAAAGAAAGCTACCCTCTCATCTCCACGACTCCACCCACCACCTTATGAACTCTATCCTCTCCATTAAACACCTATCTATCATCCCTTTCTCTTACAGCTACCCCCATAGATTTAAGTAGCCTTGGCCCTATCTGAGATATCCACATTTCCATACCCCTGCCTGCCCACGAACACCTTTTCTTCCTCCACTACAACCCTATCCTCCCACCACCTCCCAATTTCTCTCGTACCATCCATAGTCCACAACACCTTTACATGACAATATGTCATTTTATGCAAATGGATTTATGAAACAAAAAGCGTGCACATTTTCTTGCGAGCACCGCTGGCCCAACTTTCATTTGGGCTTAGAAAAGATGATATGGCAAAGCCTAAATAGAGAGACGATTATCAATACATTCATGTTCACCCTTAATCAATCATCTTTTGAGAAAGATGATTAAATAAACAAAAATTAAATGTTATAAATTTATAATATAATATATTATTATATAATTAAATTTTTGTTATTAAAAAATTTACACGTAATATTATATATATTCATTTATTTAATACTATATCATTTTATTTAATATCATATCATGATTATAAATTTACAATCTTATATAATATTGTAACTATGGTATTTCTATTAAATAAAGTAGTCATCCCTTTTTAACACAAAAAATTAACATTTATTAATGGAATCTCTAAAATATTATAAAAAAATTTCAAAACTACCTTATTTTATTAAAGCACTAAGAAAAAACTAAAATAATTTCATTCTCATCTTAAAAATTAAAATAAATTTTTAAAAATAAAAATTTAATAGAATACCATAATTTTAAGGTTTTTGTTCCTTTCAATATTTTATAATTTTGATTGATAAACACTTTTCTCGTAATTTAAATTTGGAATTAGCTAGGAAACAAAAATCAATTTAGGGGGACTAACTTAGACATTTTTCCCAATAAAAAAAGCATGATAAATATTTTCAATAACAAAAATGAAAAAACAAATTTTTTTTTTTGCTTTTTCCTTTGCTTGATTGCACAGCCTCCGTTATTCGTATTCTCCCACTCTCTTCCTATTTGGGTTGGGATTTCTCTTCTTCACTCACTGACTGTGACTCAAGCTAACCTTAACCCAGGTTTCAAATTCTCTCCTGAGCTCATTCTCTGTTTATGGGTGCTTTTAGTGTTCCATATTGATTTTGGTTCACAGTTCATCTCCCTGATTCAGATTTGGTTGTGGGTGATTTTTTCTTTCCATCCTCATTTAAAGCTTTAGATTTCATTTAATTTATGTGCTTCTAAATGGGTTCATGTTTTTGGCAAAAAAAAAAAAAAAATCCTATTTCTGGGTTTACGCTGCTTGTTTAAGTTTTTGGAATTGCTTTAATGCTTCATTGAAGTTTCATTCTTTGAAAAGCTTTTAAATTTTTGGTAATGGAGATGGACCTTTCCTGTGAAGAAGCTTACTGGGTAGTTGAATTTCTCCTCCAATTAATGAGTGGTTGCTAATTCTTGTTTCCCAAAACTAGCTTTCATTTGCCGTCTTCGGTTTGAACTGTTTTTTCTCCCAAGAAAGTGAAGTCATGTCACTTTTGTTTTTGATTGCAAATTTTTAACTTCTTACTATTGATTGTTTATTTGTAACATTCCCATGGGTTGGGTTTGAATATTGTTTGCTAGAAGTCATAAAGTCGTGATCTTGTCAAGTATTTTAATCTTGAGCTTTCTTCAGTGCTCTCTTCTTGTTAAAATATATAACCTAGTGGGCAGCAAGGTTGTTTTTGTGAGAATGAGGTTGGACCTCTTGCAAGGGTGGAAGTTTTATTATGTGCTTTAGCTGTCTATACTGTTGAGAAATAACTGCTTCATTGAGTACAGACATGAGAAAATGGTACCATGAGACAAAAGCAAAAGGATTTGAATTGTATAAAAGAAGAGTTCATTGCATATGATTTGCATGATTATAGGTCTAATGAAATGTCTACATGTTATAGTGTAATTGTGGTTGAGTGTTGTGATTGTGTAGCTTTCCATTTCTCTAATTTGGCATTTCAAATGATGATGGAGATGGAGTGATCTTGTTGGCCAAACCTGATGCTGCACGCATGATTAAATCACTTTGTATGCTTTGGTTTCTTATCAAGCTACTTTATTCATTAAGCTGTTCATAGTTATCATCTAGAAAAGTTGTAGTGTGATATGGTCCACACTATCTTCAGCAATGTCACAGTTTTTGTAATTGGATGGTCAATGTTTCTTGTAAAGTTTTGCTACTTGTTCCTCTATGTTGCTTGATGATTGTAGTGACATTAAGAGTTGGTGATTTTGGTGGTATAACTGGAAACTTTTTCTGCATTATAATACAGGTACTATTGAATTTAAGAGTGGAAACTAAGCTTAACAGCCATGCAAAAGAAGGATAATATTGCAACTCCATCAACTCTTGCTCGGATTCGGCATCGTAGACGGTCCACTGAGGTTGCTTCTCTGTTCTTGTGATAAACATATTTACATTATAAAGTTGTAGAGTGATACATATTGACAAAATTAAGATTTAATTGTTCCTAGCTCTCTGTTCTTTCTATTGCTTCCCTGCTTGTGGTCAGGGGCTTTGTGATGTTTTAGACATAAAAGGAAATATTTGCACAACTCATTTCAATTTGAGAAGCTACTATTGGTTTTATGTCAACAAAACCAAAGTAATAAATTTTTAATTGATACATAGGCACATAGAATTAGAAGGGAAAAGTAGTATATTAGCCTCTTCAAATAGTCAGGGAAGCTATGTTTTCCTTTCTTTTTTTCAAAATTTTAAATCCATACTTGCTATCAGGTTATTCCAGAGGCTGGCAAAGCAAATGGAAGCCATTTACTTGTTGATGATCATAACAAATACAGGTCCATGTTGATCCGTTTATACTCCACCCTTTGGATGATTGGGGGCTTTGCATTTATTGTCTACATGGGCCATCTCTATATTACAGCCATGGTGGTGGTTATCCAAATATTTATGGCCCAAGAGCTTTTCAGTCTCCTTAGAAAAACACATGAAGATAGTCATCTTCCAGGATTTAGGCAATTAAATTGGTAAGAATACTAGCTTAACTGCTGAACTGCAAGTGAAACTTCTTTGTGCCATGGAAAGTCCTTTTGATATTTGATCTTAACAGCCATCTTAGGGCTAAACTGCTATGTTGGATTTTGAATTCATTCTGAAATTCTATGCATAGGCACTTCTTCTTCACAGCAATGCTATTTGTATATGGTCGTCTCCTCAGTCAGCGGCTTGTCAATACAGTAACCTCAGACAAATTTTTATATCAGCTAGTGAACAGCTTTATCAAGTACCATATGGTTGCTTGTTACTTCTTGTATATTGCAGGTTGGTTCTGCATGCCACTGTTTTTAGGTACATGGCTACTTTTATCCTTGCTCATTACTCTTATTTCTTCTGGGTGTCAGGTTTTATGTGGTTCATTCTTACGCTCAAGAAGAAGATGTATAAGTATCAGTTTGGCCAGTATGCGTGGACACATATGATTCTGATTGTGGTGTTTACTCAGTCATCATTCACTGTAGCCAATATTTTTGAAGGAATTTTTTGGTAATTATTATTAATATTTCAAAGGAATGTTGTCTTTTTTATGAACTCTAAGCTTTGCACTGCAAATCTTTTTGGCCAATGGTAGAGGGTTTTTCAATTATGGATTGGATTTCTTTTCGAAAGAGAGCTATTAGGGGTGGGGAATGATGCCGCTGACTGGGCTCAAAACCTGGTCAGGTGCATTTCAATCAGCTATGGTTTACCACTAGGCCCACAATGTGAGTTTCTATTTAATCTGATACTAAAACCTGCTTCATATGAACAAAGTTTAAATGGGTTGACAGTTTTTTCTTCTGTTTATTTACATATCATTTGTACTTCATGTGCTCTCTCCTTTATCTCTTCTTGTTTGAAAAGACTTTATTGTAGAAAACGCTGACGTAAATACATCCTTCTCTGACTATTCTTTGTAAGTCCTTACGGGAGGATGGAATTTTGTAAGGTTTTGAAAAAATGCAAAAGCTGAAGATCTATTAGGGAACTAAACTACATCTTTGCATTAAGATAGGTTCTCTTATGTGACTTTGTTTTCCAACTTAGGTACTCTTATCTTATCATTTTCTAACTTCCTCAGGTTTCTTCTTCCGGCGTCACTTATTGTCATTAATGACATTTTTGCTTATATCTTTGGTTTCTTCTTTGGAAGAACCCCGCTTATCAAATTATCCCCAAAGAAAACTTGGGAGGGTTTCATTGGAGCATCTGTCACAACAATCATCTCTGCATTTGTGGTGAGGAAAATTTTCTTCAATTTTAAAGGCAACTCCAACTAGTTTAAGGCTTATCCTCACTACCTATGTGCATGGAAGATCAACGAATTAAATGGCAATGTTGTTATTCCTTCTTGGTTTATTTATCTGCTTCATGGGTACTTCATTTTTTTTTATTATTTATTATTAATTATTAATTTTTTAATTGTGATTGGTAATAGTAGTAGGTCATGAGTGATGTTTACAAGTCTAGACCAGTTTCTTACACCTTGTTAGCATGCCAAAGTTGCTCTGATGTGTCTTTGGTCTGCATATAGGCTTTTATGTTATTGGATATTTGTAAAGATGAATTTGTTTCCTGTATATGCAGCTTGCAAATGTCCTGGGTCGTTATCAGTGGCTAACCTGTCCAAGAAAGGTATTTATTTGATTAAGCACACTCACTGATGTCTCAAGAGGCATACTTGATTTGTTTTAAGAATTCTTATGGTGCGAGGATAACAAACACAGGATCTATCCACTGGTTGGCTGCATTGTGATCCTGGTCCATTGTTTAAGCCAGAGCATTTTACCTTACAAGGACGGGTTCCTCAATGGGTAAGCTGATATAAAATTGGATCAAATTATCTCACTGAAGTAATTTGTTTGATTTGATCTGATACATTATTGCTTTTATCACCATCATTCTTGTTCAGTTTTCTGTGCTTGAAATAAGATGACTTGACTTTCATTTTTTTGTTATCACTCATTATTTACTTAATTGATTTTGTACAACCTGGAGAGATACTTATGGTCAACTATGGCATTACTCTTTAGACAGGTTCATTCTGTTAGTGATCTGGTGAATGTCTTTCTTAGTTGCTGACACATTCTATAGGAAGAATTTATAAGAACTAGTATGGCTTCTAAGATATTCCATGGTCCTGGAGTTTGTTGTTTCATTTTGTTTTCCCTTTTTCATATGTACTTGGACCTTCATAGGCATCCAAGGCACTGTAGAATTTGGTGAGAAATATATTCCTACAAGGCTTTGAAGGTTTATCTTGTTGCCTTACCTACCACATTTGTCTTGGATTTGATGGAACCAAATATTTCAACATGGCTTTGAAGGACTATCTTGGTACCTTACCTACCACATTTGTCTTGGATTGGATGGAACCAAATATTTCAACATGGCTTTGAAGGTTTATCTTGTTACCTTACCTACCACATCTCTCTTGGTGAGGTGGAACCAAATCCCCTTGTTAGTTAAAGGAGAATATTAGATGTTCAATTACTAACGGACTGTTTAGGGCAAAGTTAATTAACTGTAAGTAAATACTCATAATCAGGTTAGTTTTTTTTATTAAGGAGTAACCATTTTAGCATATTGCTTGCTCAATTTGTAAGGTACATGCTCCTGCCCAAGAGAGATAGTTTCGAATTTCTCTCACCCAATATCAAAAACCTTTTCAGTGTAACATATTTCATGCCTGAAGTTATGCATTTGAATTGCAAATGTTCATTATTAAACTCTTTACAATTTCAGCAGTGTCTTAGTTACAATGATCCATTGCTTATTATTCTCTTCTGCAGTTTCCTTGGAAAGAGATCTCTGTCCTGCCAGTTCAGTGGCATGCTTTATGGCTTGGTTTGTTTGCATCAATAATAGCACCGTTTGGAGGCTTTTTTGCTAGTGGTTTTAAAAGAGCTTTCAAAATCAAGGTTTCACTAAGACACCTTTTCTATTCTCTAGTGATACTGCTCCATGCTAGTTGTTATTCATAACATGCTTTATAGATTATCCAAACTAATTTTTGTTGTTTACTCACCCTTATCTTTTTTAAAATTGCCACAGGATTTTGGTGACAGTATCCCAGGTCATGGTGGAATGACGGATAGAATGGATTGCCAGGTGAGCTATTGCAATATATTATGATTATAGAGTGGTAGACTATGGGTTAATCTGACAGTTTTTGCAGGCCAATCTCCAAAAAAATATCATCTAGAGTTAATCAACCACGAGCTGCTATTTGCTTTTATGTGGAGACTTGAATATTTCTATTTAAATCTCCTTTTCACGTATCATATATGATACAGAAATAACTTAAATTTGGTGATTTAGGAGAGTCATTGTATATCCATTTGGATATGAGTGTGTAACCATATGATCTCTATAGCTTTGCTGATTAATGTCTTCACTGATGTAGATGGTGATGGCGGTTTTTGCATACATCTATCATCATACTTTTATCGTGCCACAAAGCATTTCTGTTGAAATGATCTTGGACCAGGTAACTCTGTAGTGAGCTCTCCTTGTTATGCATTGTCTATATCTTCAATGAGGTTCCCAAAAATAAAATCTAAAATCATGAGTTGTGATACCATGACGCAGATATTAACAAACCTTTCTTTTGAGGAGCAACAAGCTCTACTAGTGAAGCTGGGGCAGATCATGCAGGAAAGACTAGGATATTCTTAGGACTCTTTTTGGACCTAATTCTGGGCAAGGTTGTTTTCTTCCCCTTCGAAAATGTAATATAACATGGTAGCGTCCCATGTTGTCTTGGAAGCATGTAAATTTTAAAGGGTGTGGTGCTTTCTTTTCCCATTCAAATATTTAGGCAATGGCATTTTTCATCAGCACACAGTGTAGCCTATGTTAGCTATTTTTAGCTATTTAATACAACATGCACCCTCGATGGAGGATCCTATGTTGTCTTCTTCAATATTTGTTTTTATGCTGGTTGAACATCATAGAGAAATCAGATAAAGAATTACTGCAGGAACTCAGTTACTTCCGAATTTGGTTTAGTGGATCCTCCATTGCTAACAGTATCTTGTTATCCTGTTTAAGAATACAATTGCATGAGCTAAATTTTGGTTTACAACTTTGAATGGAAATATTATAATTACAACGTCATATAGAATTGTACATTTACAATTACAACATGATATTAAATGAGTGAAAAGCATATAATATCACTAGTGAACTCCTAAATGAAAAAAGCAAATTATATAATCATACATAATGTTTTAAGTTAATAATGGAATTATAACTAAAGCATTTTTGCAGCTTAAATGCAAGCAACGGCCACAATTCCCTCTTACTGGGAGCAGAAATATATGGTGCAACTTATCTGAATCAGTGAATGGCATGAGAAATCACTATTGAACAAAGGTTAAACTCCTATTTTGGTCCCTGAACTATTGTACGGACTCCCAATTTGGTCCCTAAACTAAAGAAATCCCTAATTTGGTCCTTGAACTATTGTACGGACTCCCGAGTTAGTCCCTAAACTATTGTACGGATGCCCAATTTGGTCCCTACTGTTTACCAATTAAACCCCAACTTGGTCCTTCTGTTAAATAATAGCTCAGGGACCAAATTGGGGTGAAATTGTAAACAGTAAGGACCAAATTGGGGTGAAATTGTAAACAGTAAGGACCAAATTGGGGTGAAATTGTAAACAGTAAGGACCAAATTGGGGGTCCGTACAATAGTTCAAGGACCAACTTAGGCCAAATTATAAACAGTGGGGACCAAATCGGGGGTCCGTACAATAATTTAAGGATCAAATCAAGGATTTCTTTAGTTTAGGGACCAAATCGGGGGTTCGTACAATAGTTCAGGGACCAAAATGAGGATTTAACCTTGAAACAAACATATGACAACCATGAGCAATCACTCTTTCACTAGCTAGAATGTAAAGAGAAGTAATCAAGATCTAACCACAAAATGTGGAACTAACTTGATCAAAATTCAATTCGGACAATGATTGATGCACACTCTGGTTCAACACATTACGTGACACATTCATTAAAAATTCACTATTTTTTTATCTAAAATTAAAGACAAACAAGTTTAATAATATAATTATGCACACAGGATATAAGAACTAGTTGAATTGACTGTATTTATATTATATTTTTAATGACTAAACTAAGAGTGTTGTCAAAAAATGTGTTGAACCGAGGGTGTACCAATCATTTTCCAATTCATAATTAACCCTAGTGTCAAGTTCTAAACTAATCGTGCCTTCTGCACTCATGAGGAAAATGAAAACTGAAAATCAATCAACAAACCATGTAATCTGACTCATCAGACAAAAAGTAGTTAAATATGGTACATGTTCTACCATTACAAAGTAAATTTCAAACAAGACCCAGCTAACAGCTTCAATAATCAATCCTTCTTTAGATTCCTCCAGAAAAAGAGAAAATTTAGACTGACCTTTTGATTACTTTCCTCACCTACCTCCAATTATGAGAAGGAAAACCCATACTTCATGGTTTCCTCCTTTCATCATTGGGTTTTTGGTTTCTCAATCTTCACATAGGGGAGAATGCCCGTAAAATGGACAATTTTTGGGGCCCATCCCCGTTGCTGAGCTCGACAAAACATCAAAAATGTGTTTGCAAAGTAGGAATTGAAACCCATGAAGACATGCCACAAGGCATGACCTTGAGGGTTAATCAGCCAACCTGAAATCTGCTTGCAGAAAACATGATCGCAAAGCCAACACAAACTACCTAGGAACAAGGTGGCCACGTATAACTTTGCAATTCGCTTAGCAGAGGTGTCCTGTGTGTAGATGTAATACTTGTACATTCGGGGGATGCAAAGGAGGCACAGAATCACATAGTGCACCTTGAAGCCAATGCCAAAACGGACAACTGCATGAACAAAGGCAAAAACAGCACCATAGAAAAAGAGGAAAGTAGGCATTGTACTCCGATAGTGCCAATCAGGTGAGTATAGGATGTACATATATAGGAGCATCTCCCATACCATAGGAGTTTCATCACTCTGCTGTTGCCTGGAAATGAATTCCCATAATTCATTTTAGGGAAAGTAAACATAAAAATGATCATCCAAGAAAAAGATACTTTCAGAATATCACTGCTGAAGCTACCATTTATTTCAATGTAACTCGTATTATATAATTCCAGGTTCCCACATAGTAATTATTATCAATACAAACCAAAAAATATATAATTATGTGAACGAGACAAATAGTGCACTAGATCAACCAACTATATCATTAAAAGAACTTTCTAAAGCATAGCTGAGAGTGATACTTACACATGTTGCAAGGTGGCATGGTACAGCATACTTCCAATAGCAAGAATCATATTAGATATGTGAAGAACACTAAATCTTTTCTCAAACCGCTGTCTTAAGGCATTTATAAGACCAACGAGGACCAAAAGAGTGGTTGGGATATTTGATATGGTGTTGTAGAATTCTGCAATATAAGAGGAGTAAACATAATTCTTTTCGCAACATTCAATGGTTGACGTGACAGGACCCCAAAAGCTTGATATGCTATCAGCCATTCTTTGTAGAACGGATAATATGCGTAAATGAATCTCCTGTCTCAGAATGTTGCTGAGTTCATAAAACCTTCAAGCCATTGCCTGCTAAAAATATCTTCATAAGTTTAGCATTTAAGAACAGATAAAAACAATCAAAGAACATCATGATCAAACCAGAGCAATAAATCACCATGCATTTCTTTCATTCTCTTCCTAATAAGGGAAAAAATTCAGCTAAAATAACAGGCTCTGGAACCTAAAACCTAAACAGCCATAACTAACAGTGAATCGAGAGCCACTAGCGAAACTCCATGAAATACATTTACAAGAAAACAAAAGGGAAAAAAAAGGGGTGAGAAAATATCCAGCTTGATTACAACCTCTCCCACTGCAATAACATAAAACACAAAAAGAGTTGAAAAACTTGTGCAAAACCAAATGCATATTGAATGCTCCATGCTTTCGCCAAAAACAACCCACCACCTTCCAAGCAACAAGATACCAGCTTGCATCCAATTAAATAATGACATTCTCATAAAGTTTAACAAAGATCACATCACATTGTTAATCACTAACTATCCAATCCTTAAGCAAAGGATCCAAAATTTGTTCATTAATACACTAACAAAATAAAAAATAAAAAAACCAGATTCCAACCTCAGAATGTGAGATGTCAGGTAACGAATCCTATCCCCGAATTAAAGTTCTCTAAGAATCAAGCAAATCACATCAACCCCATTAAATTCTGCAACGCAATCCACTAAAATCTAACTACTTTATGCTTCTTTCCTGATTCAAAAACATACCCATCAATTTTCTACCAAAAACAAAAACTCTCCCGACCCATAAGCAAATCAAACCCATGTTTTTTCTCTCATCAGGCAGAGACCCCATAAAACACACACTTAGCAACAAGTAAATTACACTATATATGAAAGAAGGGTCAAAAGGAAATGGAAAAGAAAACCGAACCTTCTTCTCAGAGACAGATCTCATTAGCAGTCGCTAATAGTATCCTAGTCTCAAAAGCAAATGACTTTCGAGGAAACAACGGATGACTGAGAATATGTTTTCGGCATTCGACGAGAGGGAAAGGAGAGAAATTTCCCTTTTCTTTTATATTTAATTACTTTTTTATTAGGGTCTTTCTTTTGCCGTTAGTCACACGTTTTTTTTATTTGTTGTTGGATAATAAAAAATAATTTTTTTTATTTTTTATTATATTTTATTTATGTATTATGTGATTTGAACTCAATATATTTTTATATTCAATAAAAAAAATGACTATTAAACTATTTAAATCATTAACTTTTAAATTGTGTTCTTTAATACGATAGACTAAGTCAAAAACCTCTACTATAAATACTTAGAATAATAATAAATTATTGAACTATTTAAATCATTAACTTTTAAATTGTGTTCTTTAATACGATAGACTAAGTCAAAAACCTCTACTATAAATACTTAGAATAATAATAAATAAATAAAATTTTAAAATTAATAATGTGATATAAATTATATTATTTAACAATTAATTTTTTTATTTTTTAATTCGTAATATTATATTTATTAATTAATTTAGGTGATATAAATCACACTATTGATCTCATATTTTTGTCTCAAATTTTTATATTTCCTATTATTACTCAAATATTTAAATACTAAGATGTTGGTAGACTTACATATTAATTAACATGTATTTTCAAAATAAGTGATAAAAAAACTCTTTTTATTGTTATTTTTGTGCTCTATTTTATTTGTCTCATTTTTATCTATCACTATTATATAAAATATTATAGAAATCCATAAAAACACCCCAATTAGTAATTAAAATATTTCCCATAAAAAAAGTAATTAAAATTTTATATTTATCCTTATTAGATTATGTACAATTAAAGAAATAGTTCAATGCTCATCTTTTTCTGCTAGAAGTAAGAAATCTTGAATTCAAATCGCATAACATACGGGTGGGGTGAGATAAATGATGAGAGATAATTATCTCTCATTGTACAGCCAAAATAAAAATAAAAAGATAATTAAAAAGTTTATTTTCATATCATATAATCAAAATTAATATTATTTAATATAAATGTATACTTTAATATTTAACTCTTAGATAAAATACTTCCTTTAATACATTGAGCTTTATTAAAAGTAGTACTAGTATTATTTTATTTAACCTATAATTACATATTCTAATTAAAATATTTGAACGGAAATTTTTTTTAAAAAAAATAGAGATGACAATAGTTTTGGATTGCAATATCCAACGGCTGCTTTTAAGTGTGCATCGCCTGACACGACGAGGCACTGTAGATAGGGGTGGGCATCGTCGGTTCGGCTAATAATAGCGGTTAATCACTTTTTTTGGTCGAAAAAGAGTGCCAACTATTTACTTCGGTTGTATTGATTTGGCGGCCAATTCATCTTGATTTTTTAATTTCAATTTCA